ATCAGATCAGGCTATAGCAAATGCAGCAATGTTTGGAGCGTGTCTGAAGGGATCGGAGAAGGTGGTCCTAGGAGGCGATGTTTAAGGTGATGCTGACTGAGGAGTGTAGCAGCCCAACAGGGAAGAACACACTGGTCAAGGGAACAGCTCAAAAGAGGCTCTCAAGCTGGAGGAAGTGTAGAAGGTTGAGTTCTTCCTGTGTGATATGCAGAACTGAGCCGGATAACGGGCCCTCAATTGCTGTGACGTCATCTGATAAGTGTGCTGAAAGCTAGGTCAGGCTGCTGAATGCCCGGAGAGTGGGTGGCTAGGAGGGAGTGGGTGTGGAGAGCAGGGGCTGGCAGTCCCAGAGCCCGTGCTGTTTATGGGGAAGAGCTGGTAGAAACAAACTACCCGGGATGGGGAAGACTCTCTGTGTGGAGCATTGTAGCAGGAATCTTAGATGGTCTTATTAATAAAATCAAACCTGAGGCCAAGTATTGGGGTGAACACTGGAAGATCAGAGAAGCAGAACAAGCCACAACTAACCTCACCTGGCCAACTTCTCAGCTGGTTTTGTTTCCTCAGACTGGAAGCTTCTGTGTCCTCATATCCGAATGGCTCTCAGCTGAACTGTGCTGCTAGAAGCCTGAAAGTTTAACCAGCCAAATGCTTCTAGTTTCTGGTCCTCACACCTTATATACCTTTCTGCTTTCTGCCATCACTCCCAGGGATTAAAGGCGTGAGTCACCATGCTTGCCTGTATCCTTGAACAGATGGATTTCTGCCTCTGGAATGCTAGGATTAAAGGCGTGTGCTACCACTGCCTATCCTAACTATCTAGTGGCTTTTCTGTTTCTGGCCCCAGATAAGTTTATTAGGGTGCACAATATTTTGGGGAACACAATACCACCACAGAGCATACTTCAACACCTCCATCAAGGGGACAGGTTGAAGCGGTAGGACACACACAGGTTTAGAACCAAGCCCAGACTTCAGCTCCACCTCTCAGTATCTGTGAGTGACTGAGCCTCACCACACACTTCTGAAACACAAAGGCAAGGCACAAAAGTGCACTGGCAGTTTGGTGGAGATGAGATCTACAAGCACTCGCCACCGGCGGCTCAGCCTATGACACTCCGCCAAGGGAGCTGGAGTCTGAGTGGCAGCCATGACTATAGGTAACAGTGCTTCTGACAAATATCTCATTGTAAGCATGTAAAACGACAGCTGCTAGTAGTCAGACTGTGGTAATCACCCTCTCTACTAGCCCCTCCGTCAGTCAATTCACAGTGATGCCACAGACTGTAGTAACCTCAGAATCCATCATCGGATCTTTGATCCAGCCCCCTTGGTCACCTGGGTGACCACTGTCGAAATGGCCAGCCCTCACCAACATAGAAGAAACAAGTGTTGTCTCTGCTCTGCAAGTGTATGAAGGGAGGGAGGAGAGCGAGCTGACCCCCACTCCGCGGCCTCACTTGTCTCTTTTGGTCCTCTCAGAGTTTTGTGAGATGGCCTGGGCCCCTCCTCGACAGAAAGCTGAGGAGTTGAGGCAGCTCCACCAGCCACTCTGAGAATACCCATTACCCGCGTGGTGCTGTGGGAACAGAGGAACACTTTACAGTTAAATGGGAGAGGTTGATGAAGCCGCTCATGGCACGTGTATTGTTTGGTCCTTTGATGCTTCCCTGGCTATGCTGCGCAGGTATTTTCTTCTTCCCTAGTAGAGCCTAAACTTGCGTTCATCCAGCGCTTGGCTTAAACATGGCCTCCTCAGCTGGTTGGATTCTGCAGTCTCCTGGACTTGCACATCATCAACGTGCCTTTCCTGTCTGTATAGCTGTTTATGTGGTTACTGGTTTCCCCGTAGGCTCTGACACCAAGCCTGTATCCGTCTTGTTCAGCACAGCCTGGCACCTGGTAGGGAGCCTGACATGCAGGAGAATCTTGGTACAGGTTTCTTATCAAGGTTAATTAAGGAAGGTGGAGTTGAGGTGGTTATGACGAAAGATCTACCTAGACTTGGTGCAGAGATTGGGAAAGGAGCTTCAGGGATGACCCCTGAGGCAGGAATATGGCTGGAAGGTAGAGTTCATTGTTGACATCACTATAGACACTGTAGAAATGAGATGGTGGCTACAGGGGGATGATAGATTTGATTGCAGGCCTCGCTCACTGGTAAAGTCCTGTGTAGCATTTGTGAGGTCTTGGGTCCCATCCCAAGCACACATAGAAATAAACCTAGTTGCATACTTACTGTAGTGAGACCTTCAAGTGGGATTGTCTATTCTCCACCGAGGTCTGAGGTTTTATTGTGTTATTTTTGGTGAGGCTTTGGTTTGGTTTCTTAGTCCTCTCTCATGCTCATCGCTGATACCATAAGGCCTTGTGACTTTTCTGGGAGAGAGCAGAGCAGACTACTGCCTGGTGCTGAGGAATATCCAGGAAATACACATCAACAGGACTTCTCACTGCCAGGCACAGTGACAGATACTTGTAATTCCAGTCCTCTAGGGTCACCATGAGCTCAAGGCCAGCCTGGACACTGAGGCAAGAGCCTGTCTCAAACAAACCAGAGGGGAGGTTTTTAATATGTCCCGTTGCCGACTAAGCCATCTTAGTAAAGGTTGAAGAGCATTGGCCATGTGTAATAATCCTCCTTCGACATTAAAAGGACTAATTATCCATTCATTCTGGACATCATTCTTAGCCAGTTATTCACTGTATCTGTTGCTATATGGAGCACTTACTAAATACGAAGCACTCTGCTAAGTGCTAGGAGCGAAGTAATAAACAGCCATCGGCCTGTTTCTGATGGTGGGAGTTACATAAAAATCAAACAAGTTTATTCACACAGTCAAATGGGG